CAGAGTTAGAGTGGGATCACAAGGATTCGAGGTAGAGCTGCTTGGTCGTCGAAGTTCCTTGGAGTCTTTCCCTTTTATTATACTGTTATTTATTATTCAAACAGTATTGAGTATTCGATCCTCGAGACCATTTCATGTATTCAGTTAGAGTTCATGACTCAGTATTACCAGTCTTGGGAGGTTGTTATATTTGTAATTATTTCCGTTGTTGGAAAAACAAAATGACTTGAATTGTTATAAAATTGGCTTACCTAGTCTTAGAGACTAAGTGCCATCACGACGCATGTAGAAGGATTTTGGGTCATGACAAGTTGAAGATGGAGTTCTATGAATGCAGGGTCGTATTTGTGTGCCTAATGTTGACAGGCTTCGTGAATTAATCCTTGAAGAGGCGCACAGTTCCAGGTATTCTATTCATCCAGGTACCGCCAAAATGTAACAAGATTTGCGGCAACATTACTGGTGGAGGAGAATGAAAAAGGATATAGTTGCATATGTAGCTCGGTGTCTGAATTGTCAACAAGTTAAGTACAAACATCAGAGACCTGGTGGTTTGCTTCAGAAGTTAGAAATTTCTGAGTGGAAATGGGAGCGTATCACTATGGATTTTGTTGTTGGACTCCCACGGACTCAGAGAAAATTTGACGCAGATTGAGTCATTGTAGACAGGTTGACCAAGTCAGCACATTTCATTCCAATTGCAATTACCTATTCTTCAGAGAGGTTAACTGAAATTTACATTCGTGAGATTATCCGCCTTCACGGTGTGCCCGTGTCTATTATTTCAGATCGAGGTACGCAGTTTACCTCACACTTTTGGAGGGTTGTACAACATGAATTAGGCACGCGGGTTGAGTTGAGTACAACATTTCATCCACAGACAGGTGGACAGTTAGAGCATACTATTCAGATATTGGAAGATATGCTTCGCGTTTGTGTTATAGACTTTGGAGGTACTTGGGATCAATTTTTGCCACTTGCTGAGTTTGCTTATAATAATAGCTACCAGTCGAACATTCAAATGGCTCCATATGAGGCATTATACGGAAGACGATGTCATTCGACAGTTGGCTAGTTTGAACCGGGTAAGGCTCGGTTGTTAGGTACCGATTTGGTACAGGATGCCTTGGATAAGGTAAATATTATTCAGGAACGACTTCGCACAGCTCAGTCTAGGCAAAAAATTTATGCCGACCGTAAAGTTTGTGATATTGCATTAATGGTTGGAGAGAGAATATTGCTCCGGATTTCACCTATGAAAGATGTAATGAGGTTTGGAAAGAAGGGCAAGTTGAGCCCTAGGTATATTGGACCCTTTGAAATTCTTGAAAGGGTGGGTGAAGTAGCCTACAGGCTTGTATTACCACCTAGTTTATCAGCGGTTCATTCGGTGTTCCATGTGTCTATGCTCCAGAAATATTATGGTGATCCATTCCATGTGTTAGATTTCAGCTCAGTCCAATTGGATAAAGATTTGACTTATGAGGAGGAGCCGGTAGCTATTTTAGCCCAATATGTCCGACAGTTGAGGTCTAAGAGTTACCCTTCAGTTCCGGTGCAATGGAGAGGTCAGCCGGTAGAAGCATCTACCTGGGAGTCCGAGTCAGACATGCAGAGTAAATATCCACATCTTTTTACCAGCTCAGATACTTTTTCTAATTCCGTTCGAGGACGAACGTTTGTTTTAGAGGTGGAGAATGTGATGACCTAAAAGTTCATCTTTAAATTTAATAAGTAATTCTGTGTTCAAACACCTCAAAAAGCACTAATTATAATTTCTCGACTTGCGTGCGCAGTACGTATAATTTTTCGGAAAGTTTTTATGTGAAAAATGGATTAAAATGTGAAATAGAGCCTTAAAACTCAACTGAGTTGACTTTGGTCAACATTTTGAGCAAACAGACCCGGATCAGTGTTTTGACAGTTCCGGTAGGTCCGTATTGTAATTTGGGACTTGGGCGTATGCCCGGAATTTAATTTGGAGGTCCCTAGCTCAAGTTATGACCATATAACGAAAACTAGAAATTTAAAGGCTAAAGATTTCCAGGTTTGACCACGGAGTTGACTCTTTGATATCGGGGTCGGAATCCGATTCTGGAAATTGGAATAGCTCTGTTATGTCATTTATGACTTGTGTGCCAAATTTGAAGTCATTCAGGATTCATTTAACATGTTTCGGCATGACATTTGCAAATTGAAATGTTTAAAACTCAAAGTTCGAATCGAGGTATGAATTGTAATTTTAGCGTTGTTTGATGTGATTTGAGGTCTCGACTAAGTTCATATGATGTTTTAGAACTTGTTGGTATAATTGATTGAGGTCCCGGGGGGCTCGGGTGGATTCCGGATGGTTAACGGATCAAAATTTGGACTTAAGGAAAAATTTAAAATTTTGGCCTTCTGGTGTAATCGCACCTGCGGTCAATTTTCCGCAAAAGAGGAAATGCTGAACAGAACACATAAAATCGGGTTTTTGCCATTTTTACTCATTTTTTGAGTTTTGAGTCTCGAATTTTGGCGATTCCAAAGCGATTTTTCACGACTTTGAATTGGGTAAGTGTTCTATAACCAAAAGTGATTATAATTCATAAATCCATGTCTATATTCATCATTTAGATGGAAGAAATTGGAATTTTTGTAAAACTTTCCAAAAATGAAAATTTATGATTTAAAGATCCATTTGACATCGGAATTGGATAATGTTTGTATGGTTGGACTTGTATCGGAATGAGTATTCGAATTTTGTAAGTTTTTCCGAGATTTGAAATGTGGGCCCCACTGTCAATTTTTAAAGTGAATTTCGGATTTTATCCGGAAAATTAGTAAATTCATATGGAATTAATTCCTATGATTCGTGTTGATTATATCGAATTGTTTGTGAATAGATTTGAAGTTTTTGGAGACAAATTTAAAAGGAAAAGTTGTGGTCGAGTAATTTATTGAAATTGCAAAGCGAGGTAAGTGTCGTGGTTAACCTTGACTTGAGGGAATAGAACCCCTGAATTATTTGACTATGTGAATTTCATGTGCAACGATTTATAGGCAAGGTGACGAGTACCTATACTTTGTCAATTTAATTGCTTGCTTAATTATTTAAACATATTAAATTGTTTTAAGACACGAATTAATTGTTATAATAATTGTTTCTCTCTTATTCTTTGTCAAATATTAATTCTGTAATTCTTGCAATAATTGTTACATGTTTATTTTATTTATGTGTTTTAATTGCTACTTGACATTTAGCATATTAAATAATAAACTGCCTATGTTCTCCTTGATTTCCATAATAAATTGTTATTTGTCATTGTTTGTTTCATAATTTAATCAAAATTATTGTATGCTTATTGTCTTATAATTTCATATTAATTGTTGTATTTATTGGGGCAATTTCTTTTATAAGAATTGGTAAATTAATATATTGGAGGAGCGGGTTGCATGCCGCAACAGAATTGATTTAAATGAACATATTGGGGGATCGGGTTGTACGCCGCAACAGACTTATTAAAAGTCCATATTGGGGGATCGGGTTGCACGCCGCAACAGACTTAGTAAAAGTCCATATTGGGGGATCGTGTTGCACGTCGCAACAGACTTATTAAAAGTCCATATTGGGGGATCGGGTTGCACGCCGCAACAGACTTAGTAAAAGTCCATATTGGGGGATCGTGTTGCACGTCGCAACAGACTTATTAAAAGTCCATATTGGAGGATCGAGTTGCACGACGCAACAGACTTGTTTAAAAGTCCATATTGGGGGATCGGGTTTCTCGCCGCAACAGACTTATTAAAAAGTCTATATTGGGGGATCAGATTGCACGCCACAACACACTTATTAAAAAGTCTATATTGGGGGATCGGATTGCACGCCGCATTAGACTTATTTAAAAGTCTATATATATACTTGATTAAAATAAATATATTGGAGAGCTGAAAATGAATATATTGTGGGAACAGGTTGCACGCTGCAACGGAAAGTGGTTGAAATAATAATTGGTTATGACTGCCGAATTGGCTTCCATTGTTAAAAATGAGTTACCTAATTTATTTATATTATTGTTGTTATTACTATTATTGCGTACAGGTTATTATAAGTGACCTGCCTTAGCCTCGTCACTACTTCGTCGAGGTTAGGCTCAGCACTTACCAGTACATGGGGTCGGTTGTACTGATACTACACTTTGCACTTCTTGTACAGATTTCGGAGTTGGTCCCACCGGCGTACCATAGACTTGCTCGGATTTCAGCTACCCATAGGAGACTTGAGGTATAATTGCACGGGGTCCGCAGTTCTGAAGTCCCCATCTACTTTACTTTAGCTGTGTATTTATTTTCAGACAGCTTTATTTTATTCAGACCTTTATTTGTATTATTCTAGAAGCTCGTGCACTTGTGATACCATTTCCGGGATGGTATTTAGACACCGTTATTTTTATGAATTATTCACTACATTTCGGACTTTTCTTCCGCATTTGGTTCTTTGTTATTAATAAATTTAAAAATTATTTTAAAATGGATAATATTATTCTAACGTTGAAATGTTAGGCGCCATCACGGTCCGAAGGTGGAAATTTCGGGTCGTGACACTTGCCCACTAGTCTGAGGATGGTAAGCGGTTGCAACCTCATATTTGAGCCCATATGGTTATAAGACATTGTCCAAGAGCTTGTTACATAAATGGGTGCCCCCATCACTAACCATCACTCTCGGAGTGCCAAACCTTGTAAAGATATGTTTTTTCATAAAGTTGACCACAACCTTGGCATCATTGGTAGGAAGAGAAATGGCCTCCACCCACTTCGACACATAGTCAACGGCCACCAAAATGTGCTTACACCCACTGGACAAGGGAAACGGACCCATAAAATCAATTCCCCACACATCAAAAATTTAACCTCCATAATACCGTGCAATGGAATCTCATGCCTTTTTGTGATTGTTGCTTTTCACTGGCACCTATCACACCTTCTCACGAACTCATGGGCGTCTTTAAACACCCTAGGCTAATAAAAACCCGATTGCAACACCTTAGTTGCCATTTTGTCTCCCGCATAATGACCACCATAAGGCGAGGCATGATAGTCATGTAAGATAGCATTTATTTCATATTCGGGCACACATCTTCTCATTAATTGATCGGTACAAGATTTGAACAGAAATGGCTCATCCCACACATATGACCTCACATCCCGCAAGAACTTCTTTTTAGCATATGGTTCAAGATCAGGAGGCATCTCTCCACTTGCCAGATAGTTCACAAAATCTGCATACCATGGCACCTCCCCAGCAGTAATGGCCAATAATTGCTCATCTGGGAATGTTTCCTTGATGACTCTCTCAGCTACATGATTCCGAGTTTCTAACCTGGATAAATGATCAGCTACTTGATTCTCTGATCCTTTTTGGTCTCGGATCTCCAAATCAAATTCCTTCAAGAGTAAAACCCAACGGATTAGCCTTGGTTTAGCATATTTCTTTTCGAACAAATACTTGATGGCTGCATGGTCTGTGTAGACGATGACTTTGGTGCCAACCAAATAGGCCCAAAATTTATCGAACGCCCACACTACAACAAGCAACTCCTTTTCTATCACAGTATAATTTATTTGAGCGGGAGTAACAGTCTTGCTTGCGTAGTAAATGAAGTTAAAACTTTTGCTCCTCCTCTGGCCCAACACGGCCCCAATTGCACCATTACTAGCATCACACATCAGCTCAAATGGCTCTTTCCGGTCAGGAGTCACTATGATTGGTGCACTTACTAACTTCTTTTTCAGCTCCTCAAATGCTTTCAGACAAGCATCGTCAAACTTGAATGACACATCCTTCTCTAACAACCTGCACAAAAGAGAAGAAATTTTTGAGAAATCCTATATAAATCGACGATAAAAACCTGCATGTTCCTGAAAACTCCTAACTCCTTTCACCAAAATTGGTGGTGGCAACTTTTCAATTGCTTCCACCTTAGATTTGTCAACTTCCAGTCCATCTTTGGACACCTTGTGCCCAACACTATACCTTCACATACCATAAAATGGCACTTTTTCCAATTCAGTACCAGATTAGTCTCTCACACCTGGAAAGCACTTTAGCAAGATTGGTCAAGCATTCATCAAAATAAGGACCAAACACAGAAAAAATCATCCACAAAAACCTCCTCAAACCGTTCCACCATATCGGTGAAAATAGCTATCATACACCTTTGAAAAGTCGCAGGTGCATTATACAACCCGAATGACATTCTCTTAAATGCATAAGTGCCATAAGAGCATGTAAAAGTGGTATTTTCTTGATCTTCCGGGGCAATAGCAATCTGATTATACCCTGAATAGCCATCAAGGAAACAATAGTATTCCTGTCCGGCTAACCTGTCAAGCATTTGTTCAATGAAGGGGAGGGGGAAGTGATCTTTTCGTGTAGCATTATTCAACTTCCTATAATCTATGCATATTCGCCAACCAGT